AAATCTCAACTACCTCTTATTACCTCAGGTTGCTGGCAGTGTCAGGAGGCTGGAATAAATCTGGGACTAGAAAATGAGAAACGTGTTTATTGATTAGTGAAATCTTGGAGACGTCAAGCGGCTGTTGTGGAAATAAATGACCAACAAGCTGAAGCAGTTCCATACCAACACAAGATAGTAAGGTACAGGGTCCTCTTTTTTAGGCAAATCAGCTATCTGATGCCTTATTTAATAAATAATAATAGAACTTTATTGATCTAACATTGGAGATATTTGCCTCTGCATTTAAACCATCCCCCTGGGGAGCAGTGGGCTGCGATTGTGCGGCTCCAGGGGAGCAGTGTGGGGTTAAGGTCCCTGCTCAGGGACCCAGAGTGGCAGTCTGTGGGGATCAAAACCGGGTACTTCAACCTTCTCAGAGCACAAGCACACTGCTCTAACCACTAGGCCAACACATAGATTAGAGCATCATTGTCAAGAGGACAACTGTAGATCTGGGGGTTGGTTTAGTAACGTTGTCCTGCTGGAAAATGTATTTCTAACCTCTTTTCAATTCTTTCAAAGCCTCCAAGTGATTTTCTTTCTCCAAGCATTTACCTCTGTCAGCCTTCCTATCAACACTAACCAGCTTCCTTATCCGTGCTGAAGAAAAGCATCCCTCCACCATGTTTCACTTTGGTGCTGGTGTTGTCAACATGATGGGCGCTTATGGTTTAAATTACTTTAACTGCTTGTAGGCCTTTTTTAGTCTCATCAGTAACCTCCTTCAACATCACTTAGTGTCCAGTCTTAAGATATCATTTAATAAACCAACATATCTCAACAGAACAGATTATAAGGTTGAATGGTATACAACTTTATCTTGTTCCACCAGTGTTATAAACATTACTTAAAAACAACAAACTAGTTATAGTTAAAAGCTACTCCTCTCAAAAAGTAAATGGGTTAGTAACTCAGTTACTGAACAACGTTACTACACAGAGCACAGTGATCACACAGTTACGATTATGATTTAAATGTTGTTTAAAGCCGGGCGTACACTGTTTTGGTACTGATCTAGGTATTCAGTAATTCACTATGTGAACACAAAGCTAAGTTAATTTGAAATTACACACCCTCCATTTTCATATCTAGTCGGATCTACTCTGGTCCAACAACTAAGGGTTAAAACATACTAATACTAAAAGAATAACGAAAATATAATACTTGCAAACACACATAAGAGAGGTCTTTAAAATGTACTGAGTTAATTTTCTTATTTAGAGATTTTCTTGTGTTTTTAAACTTCTGGAAAACTTCTAAAGTCTCCATGTAAAAAAAATAATTGTACATCATACAAGTTAGTTCTCTATATCACTAAGAAAGACAACTGCGCTGAATTGTTTGATAGTGAGCTATTAAGAGGAGCTTCATCAGCTCAGTAACTGATGTAGATAAAGTCTTTGTTCCTGAACATAACGAGCAAATCACAGGAACATTTATCCCTGGACATGAGAGACTGCTTCCAGTTTCATAGAGTTACAGCTGAATCTGTAGTGCTTCGCCACCTCCTCTACCCTCAATGATGCAGCAATCAACGCAATACCACAATACTCTCCTCACTGGATTTCATTGACATACATCACTGTAAGGGGAGCTAAAAAACAAAAATACATGGCAAATCCTCTGGGGTTTTTTTATTACAAGAAACTTGAAAATCTGTCACCCATTTATTTTACTTTTACAACAATGCACCCTTTTTTTGTAAAATCCCCCCACAAATAACTCCCCTTTATGTTACAAAATGTGATGAATTTCAAGCGGTATGGAAAAGTTTTGCAAGGTACTATTTCTACAGCAGTGTGAGTCAGGGGGCTTTGTGCCTCTCCTGGGACGCTGGAGGTACCCCCCCTCACTGTAAACCGCATTGTCCTAGAAAAGCAAGCAGCTCCTCCCCTCTGGAAAGCTGCAAACAGAGGTGAGCTTTACATTCACAGGGTTTGAACAGAGAATCTAGTATATAGGAGGAGAACATGCCTTGGTATCAAGCATTTGGAAAAAAAAATAGGAACTTGGTTTGAGCATTTTTTACGGTTTTAACGAGGGACAGATTCAGCTTTACTAAAGCTAAAACCCAGTCAAAATATGGCTCAAAAAGCAGATAAAAAAAAATAACATGACTGATGTTACCATGGTTATAAGAGTGTCTGCAACACAAACCAAGGACATTTTTTCCTTCACCTATCTTCTCCCTCTACTGCCATGTGAGAACAAATCTCTGTTTTCCAAAACACTGCTTTACTGCAAGGAAGTGGCTGATCCCTCTGCGGGTCCCCTGATACCATGGCCAAGGTCATGGCAGTAAGTGCAGCCCTGGCTGGGTGAGGGGCATATCTGTAAGCATTGATGCATTACCTAGGGAGGACCTTACTAAGGTGAGAGCAGGAAAAGAATGTGTTGAAGGATCTTTTCTCCTTGTTTAGTGTTGCTTCAATAACTATGCTGCACTGTGTCCCTGTGATGAAAGGGTCCAATCGATACAGTCTCAAAGGTAGGCAGCAGATGAGCTCCATGGGGCTGCAAGGCTCCTATAAGGCGTCTGACAATCCTGTGTAACCATTTTAATGCCTTATGCAAACCTCAACATAAAAATACACAAACTTAAACAAATACAGAAAGATTTCAGAATAGAGCAGCTAAGTCTGCATTTATTCCTTTGTAGAAAAACCTTCATCAGTATTTGGCCCATTTCTCAACCTGGGAGAAATTTGAGTGTTTTGTATATAACGAAAAATCTTGGCTTTCTTTTGTGCAAATTAGTTGGAGCTTTAGGTCATTCTTAATTTAAAAATTTTGCTTAAGATTGTAAAAATATTCAGTAGGGATGCATCAAAATTAACATTATTGGCCAAAACTGAAAAAAAAAAATTAGGAAACCAAGGAAGGAAACCGAAACGCCAAAATAAATTATTGTAAAAAACTAGAACCATAGCATTTTTGGCTATGATGTTAACCTAACCCACTCAAAAAACTCATTTTTTTTAACTCAAGGCATTTCAATAAATCAATTACAAAAGTATCAAAATATCTATTTACCACTGACATCTTTTTGTAATGTGCTTTGCCTTAGCAGAATCACTGGGAAACCTTCTTGCCTTTTGAAACACATCCGCCATAGACGTCAGTTTCCTTTTCCATGTTGCATGATGGGGATGTTTGGATTTCTATGGCATTCATTTTGTGCCACTGATCTGAGCGTGCAGTGAGAACGACATGCAACATTTAAACTCGCAACCCTTCACTAAAAACCTGTCTGTCGTGCGCTCAACTCTGACAAACTCTGCTCCGATCGCTCCACAACGTTTCAGCATGCTGGCTGTGCCGTTTGCTTGCAATCCTTTTACCCCCCATGCTGGATGTATAGTTTGTCGCATCATCACAAGTTTCGGCTGTGATGTTTTGCTGTTAAATGTCAATAGGCTGAAAACTGAAAATGCACTTTTCAGTCATTTTCGGCAGAACATTTTCTGAGGCCGAATTTTCAGTGCATATTTAGCTCCAGACTTTGAATACCCCATACTAACAAATTAACATGCTTTGACCTAACACCATCATTCCCTGTCAAATTTAGTACCTTGTGTTCATCTGTCACAATGAATCTCTAGTTGTAATGTCAATTAATGTGGGGAATTTTAGGGGAAGCAAAACTGCTGTGCAGTTGGAGATAGTTCAGTTAAAGTGAATAAAAAATATACAATTATTATGTCACTAAATCCTATACATATTGTGGATATTCTTTTTTTATTTTATTTTTTTTTCTTTTCTCCACATGCCAAAAATGCAACGACAAACATTGAATAAAAAGACTGAAAAACGGTGATTACTTCTGCAGTCTGTGTCTTCTCCATGAACAATGAGAGGTATGCGATAAGCAGCTCAACTATCTTAATCCAATGAGGCCACTAAGGTTCCAGCATACCAATCACATATATGGGGACTATGTGACAAAATGCCTGAATGGTTTGGTGATGAGCGCAACATCATGGATAAAGGGAAAACAACCTGATAACATGTAAAACAAAGCAGAGCCCTCTCAGTTCTTGTTAAATGGAAAGGCACGTTTAATTCCAGCTGTCAGCCTTTCCTAAGATCACACCGTGACTATGAACACACTCATAAGAGGACATGACACGCCAGCTGTTCATAAGCAACTCTGGTTTGCACATTATCCTGCAGCCAGCAGCATTTCTCAGAGCTGCATAGAGGTTGCTTTACACTGATATTAAATCTGAAGGACAAAAGCTTTATATCGGCATGCATGCTTGTACCTTACTAGTCAATAAGATAGTTATAAGTTGCCTTTAAACTTAATCATAAAGCATTAAATTCATTTTCCCATCAAATTCATTTTGATGGGAAGGAAGGAAGGAAGGAAGGAAGGAAGGAAGGAAGGAAGGAAGGAAGGAAGGAAGGAAGGAAGGAAGGAGGCTTATTTTGGAAAAAATAATAAAATAAAATTGTTTTTCAATAATCCACTCTTTAGGCGTCCATAGCGGCGAATGACAGTTCCTCACTTTTTGTTCTTTAATGTGTTCTAATAAATGAAAAACTAGCTCACTGTACGACACCTTTGGATACACATATTTAGTGTGATAAATTTACACTGTTGTGAAACATTACTATTTTACTGTATGTTTCACACCTTAAATGTCGTTGCCCTTTTAATAAGTTCACATCCCAGAGAGGATGATTCTATTAAATTTTTTTAACGCAATATCTGTCTGTTGTTTTTTTTATTATGAAACTTAGGTGAGGAAAAAAACAAAACAATTGGACATAAGATGGATGCTTTCCTTCTTATCTAACCCTTGAGAAGCCTCCACTCTTTTCCAAGCAGTAAATAATCCGTACAATAAAACACTTGCTTCAATTTCTTCAATTGCATGTTACAATATGAACAAGAAAAACTGGGTTACAGAATGACTTCTCTATATTATCTGCATTGAATTCACATGGCTTACCCAAGTACAAAGAAGCATTTTCTTTCTTCACGTTATCATCCAGGTAGGTGGGCCCCAAGGTGTAGATAGGTGTTGACCCCATGCCAATGAGTATCTGGGCACAAATGAACAGAGCCACGTACAGGTTGTGCTCATTTCCCTCCTGATCTCGCGGGCAAGAGGCCACCTCCAGTTCCCCCCTGCTACTGTTCTCGCTTTGGCAGAGGCCTTCGTGGCCAGCCGAGGAGTTCATCTCCTGGATCTGGTAAGGCGGGGAGATAAAATGAGGCAGGGAGAACAATGCCGCCCCTATGGCTATCACGACACCCCCCACGGCCAGCCAGCGCGGCCTCTGACCCCTGCCGCCGAAGTACGAGATGAAGACTACCACCAGCAGGCTGCCGATGTCGAAGCAGCTGACCAACAGGCCGGACTCTGAGCTTCGCAGGCTGTAGCGCTTCTCAATGGTTGTGATGACACTGCTCAGGTAGCCTGAAACCATCAGGGACTGGATGAAGGTCAGGTAGCACATGCAGAACAAGAAGCAACGTGAGTCACTGAGGATCACCCGCACACACTTCCTGGCTGGGATCCAGAGAAACCGACTGAGAGAGAAAGAGAGTTTTCTGCCTCTGGACCCCGATGACCTGTGGCCCTCCACCGGCATGGCGCTGCTTAGCCCCACCATGCTGGACACTGAGGGGGAAAAGTCCATCCATGAGGAAGGGGACTCCGCTTGGCTGGATTCTGGAGTCTTCAGCTGAAACGCCAGGCTGTCCTCCACAGCCAAGCAGGTGCAGTTTGCGCCGACCTGCAGAGCCTGCGCAGAGGAGCTGCCACCATGTTCGCACGGCCCATTCAGGATCGGTAAACTTTTGGACTTGAAGCAGTTTTCCGTGGACACGTAATGGTCCTGGAGCTCGCGGATGTCCATGGTCTCCGACAGCTCGCTCCCCGTCTCATCTTGGTCGGATGACGTCATGGCACAGCTGGAGCTGGACCCCAGTGTCTGTGCTAAGAGGTCCATCAGTAAACAGCGCACATGTGGAGATGTTGCAGGGCTGTGAGGTGGAATGTAGACTGCCCAGCCAATAGGACTAAGGCAGACTCAACCGCTTTGTTTACACTCATGGTTTATTCCACATTTCTGATCCCAAAGCCTCTCAGGAAGCTAAACCTTGGGACTCGGACCTCCTTTGGAACCCCCCAATGGTTACGAAGATCTTCTTGATTGATGACGATAGAGCAACACCTTCTTTTCAAAAGCTGAGATTTTATTTTCGTTCAGCTCCAGCTACCCTGTTAATATTAACCGTGCATGTTACCAGTAAGAAAACGATGATGTCACATGTTGATGTTGACTTTTATGGCTCTTTGTTAGACAGCAGCTTGGCTTAAATATGTCCTCTGTCACAAAGCTGTGCAGCATCCTACAAAAAAATAAATAAAACATTAATAAATATAAAGACTTGTGAAGATGGCACGCCTATAAAGCTATAAAATCAAGCAATTGTTATTTACGGTTTTATTGGATATTTAATAGAAACATATTGCTGTCAAATTTTACATTAAAAAAATATATAAAAAAATAAACAAAAGAATAATCTGCAAAAAAAATTAAAAATAAATGTCAGCTTTGTATGTTCACGTTGTGAAAATAGATATTTTTCTACTTAATTAGAGTATTTATATAGGGGGGAGAACAAAAGACCACACTGTACACGCACGTCTCAGACACCACTTTGTGGATTAAATTAACGCAAATTCAACCCGAGCCTCATTAATGACAACAAATATTCGACATTAAATATAAATGGAGATAAATAAGGATGTGACACGAGCTGAAGGTTGTTATACTCACCATAGACTGAGAGGAGCGAGGTAGCCTGTTGTTCCCTGCTCAGCAGCCACACACTGAATGGAAGCAGCTTGATGCGCAGAGCGGCTGCTGCTGCCCAGAGGAGGAGGGGGCGGTGCCTTCACGGACTGTCGGAAATTCTAACTCTAGCTAATTACTGTGTGTAATTCAAGATACGATAAGGAATATCTTTATTGTTCCACACCATGTGGAAAATTCGTCTGTGATAGTGGCTAAATCCAGCATATATTTATACACACACGAGACAAAAATTGGGCAACTGTCAGGATTTGGTTGAGGTTAGAGGACCCAAATGCAGAAGCAGGGAGGTAGAGGTGAGTTTCTTGAAGGTTTAATTGAATGCTCACAAACAACTGAGGCAGGAATTCAAAAATCCAACATGAAAATGTAAAACAAAGCAGAACCATGGAGACATCAGAGGAAAATAATCATGAGGAGACGAGGTAAGACGAGGAACCAGCACTGACGAACTGCACAAGGAGAGTATATAAGGGAGACTGAACAAAGAGAGGACTAACGAGCAGATTGTGAGCAGGTGTGAAGAGAGGAGTCTAGAAAGGAACCAGGGAAAAGGAGACCAACACAAGAGGGCAACAAATAAAAACCTAAGAACTCAAACATTTCCAGAAAACACAACAAAATAAGAATTAAACCAATAATACCTCCGGAGAACCAACAGGCTAAAGAACAGCTTTTTCTCCAGAGCTGTCTCTTTACTGAACTCTAACCCTCATAGATAGACTCTACTCCCCTTCCTCACACCTACCACCATTTTGCTATTCTGTTTATTACAAGACTGTAATGTTCACCTTCGCTCCTGACTGTTACTATTGTAACAACTGTTTACATGCATCTTGCACTACTCACCTTGACTGAATATTGATTTGCACTGCCGACTGTTTATTCACAGTACCAATTGTTTACATATACATTTGCAATAACGTACTTTAACTGTAATATGCAATTATCTTCCACTGCACTTTAATTCAGATAGCTTCTGTCCAAACTTTATTTATTCATTTTATAGTAAAATCCATCTGTATATATGCTATTGTACATAACTGTAAAAACCTTTTTTTATAGTAATATCCACCTGTATATTATATTCGGTAGATTTCCAGCTGTAAATTTAGTTCATAACACTAGTTATCTGTATATTATATTCATCTATTAGTAAGATTCTGTTTATAACTTATTCAGTAGAAACCCATGTCCTGTATTTATGGAACCATTATTTATCCTGCACTTGCTGCTATTGGTTAGACCTAAACTGCATTCCGTTGCCTCGTACCTGTACCTGTGTAATGACAATAAAGTTGAATCTAATCTAATCTAAAATTAGAAAACATGCAGCAAAGTAAAACTGAATTTTCAAAAGAAAACAACAGAACCAAGACCATGACAGCAACATTTAAAAAATGAAGTTTTAGCCTTCAGCGGGGGTTAAAAATGTATATAATTATTTCTCAGAAAGAAAAAAGTACTTTACAGTTATGAATAATAAATATTCATATTCAAATGAAAGATATACATATTTCAAGCTAAATAGATGGAAAAGAAAAAAACAGCAGCAGGGTTGATAGATATATATAATATTAACAGTACAAATAGATTTTTGATCTTCTTTACACTTATTGATCTTTACACTTACTGGGCGTGTTTGGAGCAGCAACGTTTCTAAAGTCTAACAGCAGATAAAACAGCTTCAGCTTTATGTTAAAGATCTGTCCTATGACTTCACGCAGAAAGAGCAGGAAAGAACTGGAAAATGTTCTTATTTGACAAAACATGCTGAAGACAAAAAACAAAACAAACAAAAAAAATTTATAGTTTTGTCAAGATAATTCATCTTTATCAATATATGAATAAACTTGAGGCAAGGGCTCTAAAACAAACAATGGGAGGATATTAAGGATAAGATTTTGACTTTAGTTTTGTCAGATGTTGTAGTTACAAAGTTTACCAAAGGCAGCAACCAGCCCAAAAAATATTCAGATATTAGTGAAAAATCTTTAAGTGGGGATCTGTTGCTCCCCAGTTAAACTTTGAGATCTGAATCATATTAATGACAAGAATCTCTTATGCAAGCAGCTTTTACCATAAATATTCACAAACTAATTGGAGAATTTACATATGTTCTTAGCTGTTAACAATATGTTAAATGGACTACCAGAAATTGTACCAAAAAGATTTATTGACCTGTTATAAACAACAAATTATTACATTTAGCACATATAACCTACTGGGTGCAGTGACTATGGGAGATGACCAATCTGCAACTTAAGCTGCAGATTTTTAATATTACTTTCACCTATGACCCCCCCAGATTTGTTTCATAAAGTATTGCCACTTGGGACAGTTAAAAACTTCAGGATGCCAACAAAAAAATTACAACCAACAGCTGACTTTGAAAGATGTTGAACACTATATGCAGTGTTCTATATTTTTGAATATATAAGGAAGGCCTACTAATAAAACAGTTTAACTGTAATAAATTCTAGTAAAATATGCTGGGCGAACCCCAACCATCTGTTGATGCTGTCATTAAGGCAGGTGCGTTCGCTGATGCGTGGAAAATTCAGCTTCATGAAACCAGCAAACCTCCCACACTAGCAGGTGCCACAGTAGTGGTGGTGGCCAAGGTTAATCCAGGGATGGCTCCACAAAGATAGATAAATGAATGACCTACCGATGTGAGTTGGAGCCAACAGCTAAGAGGCATTTTTATTTCATAAATCTGCTTTGTTTGTTTTTTTGTTTTTTTCTATGCCACTTCTCTATTAAGGTTAGGTTTTTACATAGAGCAGCTCTGCAACATTTTCTAAAAATAAAGTTATTTTCTTGCATCTTTTCTTTCACCAAGTACTTTTTTGTTATTATCTAAGCTTTGTTGTTTGATTTTTAACATTTCATCTTATTTCATTTCCGCTTTTTTATATGATTTTTTTTTTTTGCTGCTTTCCTTACTCAAACAAAACAATTATAATAATAAATTATTTAATAATCCAACTATTATGTTTCCATTAAGAAAACTTCTTCATCTACAATACAGCCTTCACATGGTAACAAAGAACAGACCCCTATCTTACAGCTAGATCTTAATGTTTTGTTAACCCGATATTGAAAAAAAAAACAATTTCTGGGCCGTTACAAGATAGGCAAGTAAACAGGAACATCATGCATCTTGTCCTTTAATACAGAAGGACTTCCACTGTGTCATTACTCTTATCAGAAGAGAAAAAAAACAAACCCTTCTCTAAATGCACCGCTGCAGTTTATCAGTTCTTTAGGCGCAAATTACAGGAAACCTTTGCCTGGAAATACTAGCATGCATATCGGCCCATATGGTGGGTATGTTCTGTCATATGGACAGCTGGGACCCCTGCTGACATAGCGGTGGCTGGGGTCAGTGGTCCCATGAAGCCTCAAGTGGACAATAGCAATCAGATTTAGAGCAGATGAAATTGGTTTACCCTTGTCAACTGTTTTTTTTAAGAAATATTGCCCAAAGAGGCACTCTTTTTACGATATAAACCATTCATATTAGCAATTTCATAGAAAAAATATACAGTAGAATAGCCAACATGTGTTCTGAGTCGACAAAGAAGAGATTGTAGTGATTATAAGGATTCTACAAATAAGCTTTTCTGTTTTGGGTGATGATTTATCTGTCAGTCATCACTGACTGACAGTTAAATCCCCTCCCTTCTGTCCCTTCGTGTCTCTAGAGTTCATATATTTAAATCAGGAATGTGAAAACCCCTTCAGCATCACCTAGTCTTAAAAAAGAAGTAAACTTTCATTTTAATCACGTCATTTGCCATTTCAGGTTGGCTGGAAGCAGCTTTTTAAAGGTGACTGATTTCATCCCAAACATAATGTGAAACCTGACCATTTCAATAAAAACCACCACAAATCGAAACACATGAAACACATGTACAATACCATTACATGAATGGAAACTGGCTTGTATTTATATAGCTCTTTTTACAGTCAGGAGACTTGACCAAAGGGTTTCACACTCACACTGATGGCGGTGACCCACATTGTAGTCACAGCTGCCCTGGGGCTCCCTGACAGAAGGAAGGCTGCCCTACACAGGGGCCACAGGGCCCTCTGGCCGCCATCTGTAGGAAGTACGGGTGAAGTGACTTGCCCAAGGACAAGAGACTGAAAGGTGGTGCTGGGACTTGAACCAACTTGAACCACCTTTTTCTCTCCAGCAGACCAGATATCTGCAGTGGTTCAAATATACAGCAGGCCCTCTGGCTGCTGCTTTTATTAAAGTACTAAACTGTAATAAAGCCGACGTGGGAAACAAAAGGATCCTAACTAAATTAACATCTCTGTTAGATAATGTCTCTCACCCCATGCACGAAGCTGTTGCAGAACTGGAGAGCTCCTGCAGTGACAGACGGCTGCACCCTAAATGCACCAGGGAGCGTTATCACATATCCTTCCTCCCAGCAGCTGAAAGACTCTATAACCACCACTGTTTCCAACAACCTCGATAAGTTGTTACATTCATGCTGATTTTGCTCAGTTTCTACCGTAGTCAGTTTAATGACATGCTGCTGTCATTTTGCACATCTTTGATGTTGCTGCTATTTTAAAATATTGTTACTGTAAAAATATCCACAGCTGTATATTGGTTATTTATTCTCCAGGTGCACGGTTTCTATATTGTTAAAACACTTACACAGTACAATATTTTATTATTTATTTTTTAACTCTTCACTATTATGTTATTGTTATACATTTTTCTAAGGTCCATATTCATGTGACCATTTTTTAGTCTCTTTGCTGCTGTAAACACCAGAATTTCCCTATTGTGGGAGAATAAAGGGATTTTCTATTTCTATTTCCATTTCTATTTTTAACGTGTCCCAATAGACTGTATTTGAAATATCAGAACAAAGGGGATTGAGTAAAAACATGTGCACAAAAATAAGAACTTCTTAAAACTTTGCACAACTTTAGAGTTACTTATTTTTCTTGTTGCTTTGCTTTATTCTATCACATAATTTTCCCTCAAAACCATTAAAGCTTGGTTTTTTTAAAAT